GGCAAAGCTGAAGTCTGATGGTACTTTTACTATAAGTTCTTTATCTTAATTTATTTTATTTGTTTATTTAGTTTTTATTTCATTATATCTCTTTAAACAACTTAAAACCCCATTCTTTTTATCTTTATTTATTATTTTATTATTTTTCCCTTTTTATAATTTTATTTTATCTTCTCATCTTTATCTGAAATTGTATCTTCTTCTAAATCAAAAAAAGAGTTTCACTAAATCAAGAAAAGAGTTTCACTAAATCAGAAACACCACAGTCAGTCCCTGTGGATCGATCATGCTTCTCTATACTACTTTCCCTTTCTAATTATTAATAAGTCAGAATTATTTTGATAACAAAACGATGGTTATCAACAAGATATGATATGCTATCATAAACTTCAATTTAAATAACTAGTTATATATATATATATATATATATAAAGTCGAATGTTGAAAAAAACTCATCAAAAATAATTCAAAAATGAAATAACCTTTCATAGTTTTATTACGTCTAAGGTTGTAAATGAATAGAACGTTTGGTGAATAGATCGTGAATTGTTCGTATAATGTTCGTTTATTAAGTTAAATAAACAAGTATGAACAAAAAATTATGTTCATTTAATAAGCGAACAGGCATTAACAACGGTGTGTTCGGTTCGTTTATGTTCACGAACAAGCTCGTTTATCGACTCATTCATTTATGTTCATGAACAAACTTGTTTGCACGGTTCTCATTTTCCTTTTATTTTTGTATGCTTTAAATATTGATGAAGGTATGAACTAAACTGAACACGTGGTAAAAATTGAAATTTAAATTCGGAATTTTAAGGAGTTTAAGCACTGATGAAGTATTTTTATCATTTTTCTTTAGCTTGAAAATGAAAGCCAAAAACTAAAAATTGAACATATAAACGAAACAATAAACCAAACACTAAATGAATGTTACATGAACACTAAACGGACATGTTTGTAAATGCTAAAGGAAAATATTTATGAACATATAAATGAACACGTTCGTGAACATTAAACGAAAATGTTCACGAACAACAAATAAACGAACACGAATGCCTTCAAAAATAAATAAACAAACACGAACACAATATTAAAAATTTAAACGAACACGAGATGAATATGAATACCTTCAAAAATAAACAAACGAACATAAACATAACTTTATTCGTTCAAACTTGGTTCATTTACACCACTAATTGCATCCAAATGAACACTATAGCTTTTTTAAACAAAATAAATGGTTAATTTTATATTATAAAAAAGTAGTATTATGCTATTTAATCATACAATAGAGAAAAGAAATAAAATATTACCTATTAACCTTATGCAAAAATATCCTAGGACTTACAAAGAAACAAATTAAAACTATCTATTATATTTATGAATTATAGAAATAAGTGTCGTTTCTAAAATTTATGGTCTAATAGTATTTTAGGTTCTATGAGTTTAAACTTAAGTTAAATTAAAATGTTATTCCTCCGATTTTTTAGATTAAATACTTCATAAGTTGTCATTATTTTGAACTTGGACAATTTATCACTCTCAATATTTAATCCTAACTCTGTCTTTTTGATAAAATATCCACCAAGTGTGCCTAGTAAATTGCCTTTTATCCTGCTCTTCGTATACAAAGTAGATGCTAAAACTCCATGTAATCTTGAGAATAGAAGGATTTAAGACTTTACCCTTAAACTCTCAGTAAGTTTATTCCAACTCTTAATGTCATGTCTGAAGGGTTTTTATTAATCCGACAAAGCTTCAACATATCATACCAAACTTTCTTAAAAAAACCGATACTCAAGGAAAGATTGGCTGTAAGATTCTATTTCAGATTTGCAAAGGTTGGAAAGACCATTATTAGCATATGCTGCAATTTATGTTTAGTTGAAAGTCTAGCTAAAATAGCCATCCAAGCTATAGAAGCATGCCTCTTTAATTGAAGCTAGGAATATTGGAATTAAGGAGATGTATCACATGTTTGATGAATATATCAATTCATATTCATATATGGTACTTATTAAAGTTGTATTTTCTGAATACATTCATGTATGGTGAATTTGTCTAGAAACAATATGATAACTATTAGGTTACCTCGTTGTTCTATTATAAATAGGTGACTTTGAGAAGACTCTCAAAGAGTGATCCAACTCTAACAATAGAGAGTTAGAGATTGAGAGAGTGAACACACATCGAGTGAGAGATAGCGAGCCAACACAGTTGTGGTATCTGTTTTGCAACTTATCGAGAGATTTTGTAAACCATCCATATTGGATGGGATATCTCCGTAACCCTACTTGATAGTGTAGACAAATTTGCATTGGACTAGTGTCACGTGATTTTTTTTTATTTAGGTTTTTCACATCACTGAAACCTCGTGTGTATTTTTTCTCTCTTTATTTTGCTTAAATGCCTATTATTATAGTCACAAAAAGGGAAAGAAAATTTTCACCCTTAATTCTGGCACTAGGGAATTATTCAGATTTGATAACTGAAAATCTAAATATAAATTAATTTATTTAAATTTGAATTTTATAAATCATTAGTTTAATTTTATATTTTAGGAATTAAAATTTGAATTTGAATAATAATTAATGACTAATAATGAAAATGGACTAAATTGATAAGTTTTATACTTAATTAATGATTAATTTGAGGAAGATTAAATTGAACTAAATGAATAGTGAGAAGACAGTAGTAAAGGATTAAGATGAAATAAAGAGAAACTTGAATCTTTACATGCTAATTTATCCGTTTAATGGATGAGTCAACATCTTATATATTCAAAATTGGACACATGGATACCAACAATTAGTTGGTCTAGTTGGTTTATTGGGATGAACTAGATTTTTTAAGTAAGGTAAGGGGTTTGATCCCTGTTGTTTACGAATTGAACAAAATGGGTTGGGACGGCCACCCATATGAATCTATGCAAAGCTCGATTTAAAATAGTCCGTCAATAGACTGGATATCAATGATTAGTTAAAAAAATTGACACATGGACAATTATAAAATGGAATTCCTTTTTCCGTTAGACATAACCGGAATGTATGAATCCGGTGAGAACCAATCAAAATGAGCATTTAATTTTGGGGAAAGGAGTTAAATTGAGCTTACATTTATAATACTCACCTATTTATTTTGAGTGAGAGGATTGGGGAAAGGAGTTAAATTGAGCTTACATTTATAATACTCACCTATTTATTTTGAGTGAGAGGAGGAAATAGCTTAGAGGTCGTGTTGGGTTGCCATGGAAAAAGAAAATAAGGTTGTCTAAGTTCTTAAATTATTGATTTAGTTCCATGTTTTAGTTGGTTACATGAACAAGATTAATGGTAGGATTTTGTGTATTTTTAATGTTCAATTGAAGCTCACTTAGGTGTGGGAACTTCAAACCTTACAATAAAGAGGAGATTGACGCTTGAATATGCTTGATTAGCTTTGGAAGATATTTAGATAATTTGAACTGTTGTATGATTTGTAATGTACCTTTTTTTTATGTTGGTATTGTTTATGTATTATAATTTAGTGATCAAAGTAATAACTAAATATTTGATTATGTGTTTAGATTATTTGAGATAGGAAATATTCTAAGTTACAATAAAGATTTATAATCATAATCATAAATTAAGCACATAATTAAGACAATTTCTTATAATCATTGAAACAAAACTAGCAACTTAAGATCACATAAAGATTAAAATCGAACTCGCAAAATCTAACAAATAAAATTCGAACAAAGATATATACAAACAGATATGATCGCATTGACAAACGAACAACAAAAGCGGATCAAGCAACTGAAGGACCACCGAAAAATCGCAAATCAGATTCAAGCAATGTGAAAAGCTATCCACAAACATATATCAGGTATCCAAATCCAATCCGATGGTCTAAAGCAGGGAAGATCATCAATATAACAGATAAGCGACATCTTGATCAATAGTGCGATGTCAAATCAATCCTTAAAAAAAGATAAGCAAAAATAATGGTCAAACAATCGAAAAATCAAAAGGTAGAAGAAAATGTGTCATCAATCCTTAAAAAAAGATAAGCAAAAATAATGGTCAACCAATCGAAAAATCAAAAGGTAGAAGAAAATGTGTCATAAAGGCAAATATAAAAACATGTCATACAAGCATACTTATTGAAAATAAAAAATTAAAAAAATAAATATGTAATATAAGAAATTAAAAAGACAATAAAAAATACCGGCGATCGGTAACCAATATTACAGTTGGTACAGCCGCCGATCAACAAAGATTAAAGGAAAAGGAATGAACGACTTACTGACGAGAGAAAACTATGACATGAGATTAACATTTGAAGCTGATAATTCACTAGAGAGACCAAAATAATCAAAATATTGGTTACATAGAGACTTAAAAGGACCGTCTTTCCCAACAGTCAAATCTGCATTATTATTAGTTGAAAAAAGGCCTCAATAAAAATGCCAGGTGGCTCCTGAAAAAAACCAGTACTTCAATAAGATCATAAGATGCTCTGCAACTTAAAAGAAGTGCAGCATTTCGCCTTTAAGATAGCATCTTTTGCATTTATTCCAAAAAAAAAACACTTGTTTGAAAGTTTTGAATGATATATATGGTGATAAAGTTGTTACAGGTGCCTTCGGCTTCAGTGTCGACAAACTTAAAGGCCAGCTCGTTTAATTCATACATACACTATCTGGCAGGCAATATATTCCCTGAATCCATGTGTAAATTGGCTATTTCAGATTGTCTGATATGACGAAAAAAGCAAAAAGAAATGATAATTCAGTTTGTGTTTAGAGCTTTTAACTTGTTAATAATAATGTCTGGCTCTCAAAATCGAATTATAATTAGTGTTAGCTTTTATCTTAAAATATGATGGTGATTGCTAGATAAATGCTCTTCTTTTGATAACATAATCCTTTAAACACATGGACAGAATCAGCCACCAACTTTGTTGCAGAAACAGACAAATCTTTGTATGATTATGCCTTCAAGATTTTTCTTTCCTCTGAAAGACAAAATACTACAACTGTTGATATTGATTTTTGGGTCATTTTCCAAATCAAATTAGAGCAATGGCATCAACTATATTTGACGGCTTCAACACCCTCGAATAGAATCTAAAATGGCCAAGATATCTTTTTTCTTATTTTTTGATGTTTAATTGGCAAATATCCATTCCTGTATGAAGGCCAAAAATTGCATCTAATCTCCACCAGACACCCCCTAATGCTTCCAAAGATGATGCTTGAACGCTATTTTTATTAAAATTACAAATTTGGAAATCTTCGACGAAATACTTAGACATTCAAACTTAAGTCCCGACTGAATATTGATCGTATTCAAATTCCGGTATACGACAACGAATCTTCGGGTTGAATAATCTAGATGGAGTGAAAACCACTACATTGATATTTGACCACCTAAAGGTTGGAGCTACTGCAACAGCCAACCAGAATTCATTCACAAGAAACTTCAAGGAAGAATACATTAACAAAGCTTTTACCAGGTAACTTTCAAAAGCAAATCAATCTACATCAAATCAGTTTTCACCAAGAATTTCAAGGAACAGCTAAAGGGTATTGTGGATTAATTACAGACTGCAAGTTAAAGGTCCTTCCAAGCCTTTTGCTTCGAAACAAACTTCGGATTGCAGGAAACTTGAAATAACTAAACAAAAGGTACAATAGATCCGGAGGCATTTAGTTACAAATCTGTTTATAGGGTATTTCCCTTTCTAAATCAGCTAACATTCTTCATCGAATGTCTAACGAAACAAACGAAGATTAACATACAATACACCAAACCCGAAAAAACATTAGCACACATAAATAAAGATATTCAAAGTCACCATAAATACATCACACGATACCTAATCAGTTAAACAAAGCTAAAGGCTTTTATTTATGATCAGTGTAAGGAATCTATGTTCTTACTGAGCTCCTCGAGCTTCTTCATCCTCAACCTTTCACTTTCACTCACAAGCTGTTCAATCAATAAAAACAGATAACAACAAGGTGAGATCCGAATTTACGTTGCTTTGAATCTGTAATTTTGTTTTCAACATTACAATTATAAAAACTAACCTCCATCAACTTTGTGATTAGCTGTACTTTTTCCTTATTCTTTTCATTAAAGGCCTCGAGGGCTTCCTTGTACTCCCTTTCCTACAATATATAGTCAAAAAAAAACTGAACTCAGCAGCGTAATGGGTACCATAATTAACAAGTGTTTCATAATTTACAATGAAATTTGACAGAAAAGTTCAATTGTTAGCTTCAAAGTCGGGTAAAGTAGGAACCTTTTTCTGGCAGGTGTGCCCCAATGGCTTCAATTCTTTGTTAACTGCATCAATCTTCTTCCTAACCTGAGCAACTTCCTTCCTCATAGGATCTGCAAGTGCTTCAAGCTCCTGTAGATTCAACCGTTTTTATTTAAAATGAGAACTTAGACCAGCTCTAGGTTTGAAACTAGAAAACCCAGAAACAAAAAACTCTCTTTATGTTCTAAAATGGTAAACCGTTTAAAGACACCCTTGATCTATTAACTTAAATGGTTGTTTTTGCAACAAGATGTAAAGCCCAAAAATTAACTGACAATTTATTAATTTATACTGAAACCTTGAACTACAAATCTGACAGATAAAATACTCTTAAACTCTTGCAGAAATGTATTATAAAGGCTAAACCTGAAAACCCTCTTTCAGAATTTCAAATCCATGCCCAGATCATGAATTTTCATCACCATGTGACCCTCTAAACTCAGAAATTGACCAAAAAAGGTAAACTTGTTCGAAAGCCAAAAGTTATAAACATTAAAAATTGCATCTTTCCAGGTCAAAACCAAGAAATAAATTTAGCTTAGCCATGAAAGACGGGAAAAATGAGAAAATTTTCTTCAAAACATACCTCACGAATCACGGCCAAGCGTTTAGTTTCCTCTTCAACACGGCCTAACTGAAGCTGAACTTTCTCTCTAACTTCCATCTTCTTCCTCTCGATTTCTTCTTCTTTGGCTCTGAAAGTAGAAAGAGCAGACTTAGAGATCTCTTCATCTTCCTTAGACAAGTGACTGCTGAAGCTTAGACTCCCAGAGTTTTGAACCGTTAACTGGTTTTGCTGCTGCGGCGGCGGCGGCTGCTGCTGCTGCTGCTGCTCAATCTGCATCATCTTAGACAACTCCAGCTTCTTCACTAAAGGAGAAAAAAACCCTTCTTCCTCGAATTCCTCTCTTTATTATCCCCTTCCCCTTCTTTTCACTCTTGCTTTTGCTTTTTTGCTTTGAAATGATATCTTATGTTTCTCTTTAAGTTCTCTCTCTCTCCCTCCCCTTTTATATTATAAACAATAATGCTTCCAAAAAATTTTATTTTTATTATTTTTATTTTCATTAAAGTATTGTACCCAGGCCAGCCTAGCTTTCTTTTCTGAACCAAGAAAATAGTATTCCGATCTTCAAAGATAAGGCATTTTTTAAAAAGGGAAAAATATAACTTCTTCAAGATCAATCTTTATAATTAATGTTAAACAAAAATAAAATTATGTTTACGCTTAATTTATAGAATTAAAATAATTTTTAAGGCATTTTTAAAAGAACCTCTCTTAACACGCAATTGTATTTTATCAATAATATAAATATTAAGTTTTTAATATTAACCCATCAATGAATATTAATTGATTTTCTACCACTTGCTTGTTTTTTACCTTTTGTACCGAAAAGTGAACTTGTTTGAGGGTGTGATGTAGGGATGCCGAGAATAAGAGAGGCTCCATCCGAGATCCGACCCGATTTGACCCGTATATATGATATAAAAATTTGATTTGACCTGAAATAATAAAAAAATTATTTTATTTAATAAAAAAATTATTTTTATTCAATAAAAACAGTGATTTAATTAAAAAAATTATATATAGAAGGATGTTATTGTAATTATCTCTAAATATATAGGGTAAAATTAAATAATTTTTTAAGGTCGGGTTGAATCGGATTTTTTTTATCCTAAACCCGAACCCGACCCGACCCAAACCCAAATTTTTTTAAAAATAATCTGACCTGATCAGGTCGGGTTTAAATGTTTACCCCTAGTGTGATGGGGCCTTTTCTTGACTTTATTATTTAAATATACCAGAAAAATATTAGTTTTACTTAAATAATATCTATGTTTATTACTCTTTGATATGACACAAAAGATATTACTCTAAGGGTGCGTTTGGTTCACGGAATGTAAGATTATCAGTGGGAATAAAAGATTACCAGGGAATATGATTACTGGGAATGTTGTATTTTGTGTTTGGTTGGTTTAGCAGGAATGTAAGATTACCGTGTTTGATTAAATGAATAAAAGATTATTGGAATATATATTTGACCAAATTGTCCTTATTATATATTTGTATAATATTACAAATTGTAAAATATTTATATATTTTCTTTAAAAAATAATATTTATATAATTTTTTTTTACAAAATTAAAAATATAAAAAATGTTTAATGAAAGGGTAAAAAAATTTTAACCTCTGAACTTAATATAAAATTTTAATTATAGACATTTTTTTGTAAATCTAAAATAATTTAAGGATAAATTTATAATTTAACCTTCGTAGAATTTTTATTATTCAATGACAGAAGAAGGATATTTTTGAAAAAAAATAAAAATTTAAGGGCATTTAGTCCAAAATGTCGGTAATGTTACAATACCTAAGGGAATGGAGGTAATGACATTCCCGGTAATATACCCTAAAAAATCTACTATTGGTAATAAAACATTACCGGGAATGAAATTCCCGGCCATCCAAACATGGGAATGTGGGATTCTCATCCCATGTGATCCCACAATCCTTGAATTAAACACCTCCTAAGGGTAATATCTCTTTAAAATATTTTTTATATTGAACATATTTTGCATACGTGATAATATTTCTAAATACGTTTTTGAAAAGAAAAACAAAATGCTTTCATGCCCTTAAACTACCTTCGATTTCATCTTATTAGAGTAGTTTAAAGGTTGAAGATTTAAAAATTTTAGAACTTTGAATATTTATGTTTTGATGTTATTTTCTAATTTTGGGTTTAGTATTTGTTTTTTAAGAATATGAAGTGAAAGTGAATAAGATTATGGTTAGCTATAATAAAAACATTAGAAAACAATATCAATATACAATAAAGAAAAATATAATTATAATGAACATAGAAAATCAATAACGTTTGATATACATCATGCATCAATTATGATTATTAAGCAATTTGCATAGATATAAGACCTCAATGATCTAATAACAATTCGAACATCAAATGTAAATCTTTTAGTCTCAGAACACATACAAATGTATTGTGTTGGTGGCTGGAAGGGGAGATAATCCCTAAATTTGTGATCATACATTCAGTACCACGTTGACAATGTAGTATTACATCAATGTCTATTATTGTATCATATATCAATATTATACAAAACTCGATATTCTCAAGGCGTCGATCTCGTATACACAATAAATGGAGGCCCAAAGCATAAGTTGCTTCAACCAGCCCTCGATCGAAAGCTTGTTGGAGTAATTGTAACTCTTGTTCAACATTTAGAAGTAGCGTAGAAACACAATCTTGCATCCTCATCTAATATAGCGCATAGAGATTATTTGCAACAAACAACATATTAGAGAGAGTAGTTGTGGGTGACACTGGGACACATAGAATAAAGAAAGAATGAGTGGATAGAAACGACTACATTTTCCACCCAAATGTAATAACAAACTTATGGAAGAAAGTTGCAACCTTAAATGGAATGTTGGTTTTAGATTTTTCTTGTACACAAATTATTATGTGTCATGAAGATGTTGCGACCTTTTGAAGGTATTGAAACAAACACTTATAGGGTGAATTACAATTTCTTTCAAGCTCTCAAGTATTTATGCTCTCATTTCAAAGTTGCACGTTCACATGTTAATATCGATTACAATAGATATATTGATCTTGTATACTAACTTTCACAAGTCTTCAATGTATACGAAAATGAGTTCCTCTTGACCCACAATGAAAAAGAATGTAATGAGATTTAAAATTGATCTACAACTCTCTTGAATCCCAAGTTAGATAGAGAATCTTTAGCTCATCTGAAACCCACTAAGATTCATATTGATATGGATATTAGAGAGATGATCGAATAATCTAAACGATATGAACATTGTATAAACTCATACCACAATAGAAAAAATGTTCATCTCTTACATGTTCTTATATATTGTACTTTGCCATCTATAATATTTTTTCAAATAATTTCATTTTTAACATATATTTACATAAAATCGATTTCATTATATTTAAAATGTTAACCTTAACATAAATGATCATATCTCTCATAATTTTTATCTTCAAATCTTACGAAATAACCCTAAATATAATCATTAAAAATAAGAATTCTAAACCATTGAAACTAACATAACATATCTCAAAGTTAACCCTAAACTCTAAAACCATAAATCCTAAAACTCATGAACCTCTCTAAAATTAAATATCTAAATCACTAACCTAGAGAGAAACTTGAGGTTATTTTAGAGTGTAAAAGACATTTGTTGTCAAATGAACCTTTTATATATATTGCCACGTATATTTAAAATATTTTTTAAGAAAAAAATACCATATCGAGAAATAAATGATTAGTGGTATTTAAATAATAAAAAAATTCACTACATTTAGGTAGAAATGTCCTTTTTTGGCAATTGAATTATGTAAAATTTGTCATTTTGTAGGTAGACGGACAACTTCAACAAATTCTTGTACCTATTTCATTCATATATAATTTATTGGGTGACTGACACAAGTAATTGATATTAAATTTTATTTCTTGAGAACTAATTTAACTATAAATGTAAAATATATATTAATAATTTTATTTCTGCATGTTGATGCTTTTATTTAAATGGAAAAGCTTAACGAAATTGATTGACACTTAATCTTTCCGTTAGGATTTATTTTTGGACTGTAAGTAAAACGTCTTTGATCGTAATATTGATGTTTTATTTATTTATTTATTTTGTATTCGAAGCTATCAAAAGAATAATAAATCAGGTGAATAATAAAATTTATATTTTTTTCTTAGAATATTTTTTTATCACATTCAACGGTTGTTTATGATGGTTTTCACTATTTTATAGTGTCAAAAATCGTTAATAATTTACTTATTCTACTAATTGCCAGAATCATCTTGGAAATGTATGTTTAAATTCTAGTTTTTTGAGCTGGATCTATTTGCATATAAAATTCTATAAACATCTAGTCTCGCCTGTTTTAACGAGTTTAAAGTATATTATTTTCAAATAAAATTTAATATGTGAATAATTTATATTCTATAAACTTAAAAGAAAATTAACATATTCAAATCATATTTTGTTTTTTTAATGTTATGAATATTTTAATTATTATATTTAATTCTACAATTTTATCATAACCAATGTTATCGGGTATATAAAAAATTATAAAGATGAATTAAAAGTTTTACAAGTATTAATTCAATTATCATGATTGCTATTGTAATATCTAAAAGGATATAAGTTCAAGTACCTTTAAACTTGAATTTTCTTAAATTTAAGAGTGGATTAAATTTTTTATATTATATTGTAAATTTTATTCTGTCATCAATTATATATGTATAATATTAAAGGTTTAATTTTAGATTAAACAAATTATTATTTGTATTGATATTGTTACCCTATTATTTATTTGTATTATAATAAAGTTTAAAATTCTATACATTAATGTAAACATTGACACAATAATATTTCATATTATGATATTCGTGTAATTATTTATTAAATATAATGTTTTTACTTGTCGTATTACAAGGTCTGCTTGGCCATAAATTAGGGCTTATAAAATAGTAGTTTAAGGGCAAAGATGTAGAAGAGGTACTTAAAATAAATTAAATGATGGCTTCGGTGGAAGTTGGTGTAGGAAGGGGTGACCTACACATAAACATTTATGCACACCAAATAAATAAATTAGGGAGGCGTAAGTGAAAAGACAAAGTTTAATGAATTAATTAATTAGGAGATAAATTGCCATTTTGCGGCATCTTAGCTAACCTTTTGACAAATATCACCAACTTTCCCACTCGTTGCCTTCAAATCAAGAATCTCCTCTTTTAGATTTTAGATTTTTCTTTTTTAATTTTTTTCCCTCTCGGTTCAAGGCTTTGCCTTATTAATTCGGACGACCGTACACTTGTTTTTAAAACAATAGCAAATAAAAATTAATTTAATAACAACTTATAATCTTTAAATATACTGGGTAGTTGGGTTCTCGAAGATAATAGGAATATGCTCGATTCTTGACGCCGAGTTATGTGAATATTTGAAGGATTAATTCTAGTTTGGGTTTCATATATGAAGATAATACGAATTTGCTTGATAGAGAGTGGACGGTGCTGTTTAATTTTCTCCCCGGGAAAATAATATGATTGCATATGCTTTAGCGCGTATGACATGGACTCTTTTCTTTGGAATTCATATAGCGGATGATGATCGTGCCAATGTACTGCATCACCCTGGAGTTTAGTATTTCTTGTTGCTATATTCTGTTTACTCAAAAAAAAATATAGAATTGTTGATGGAACGAAAAAAAGTTTTGTTAGTCGTAAATGGGTTATTTCTTTTAATTTAGATGAAGAATCATAGTTGATAAGAAAAAGATTGATCATCGGTATTTTTATATTGTAGAAAAATAACATGAAAAATGAAGAAGACGAGATAGTGTATGTGGGTCTACTCACCCATTTTATCAGTCTTGATTAGATTATTTATGATTATTCTTAGTGGTTTCAATCATAGAATCATCATGATTATTAGTAGATTGACATATTAGATAAATTTATTTGTCAGATATTAAATTTAATAAATCTGTTAAAAATTTTGTCTAAATTTTATTTACGTATTATAATTGACTAATAGGATATCAATTAATCAGTAGTTTTAATTGATTTCTACTTTTTGTTTTCATTGGAGGGGACCAGTTTGAGATGAATAGACAAGTTCAGAGTTCAAACAAAAATGAAATATCATTTTCTACGAAAACAAAAAAGCTAAAAAAAAAACTCCATTCTCAACTTAAACGGTCAGGATTTTGTGATTAAAATAAAACTGATTTTGGGCCTAGGAATCTACTGGTGGGGCCATCCAACGGTGCCCATTTGAAACCTCCCTGTCCTATACGTCACTGCCGTGCAACCTGGACTACTGTTTTTTATTTTTCTATTATTATTTTGGGTAAACTCCACATTTAGCACCCTAACTATCACTTTTATTTTGTTTTAGTCACCCAACTATTTAATTTTTTCAAAACCATACATATTTTACGTTTTAGTTTTATTTTGATCATTTTTCGTTAAAAAATTAACATAATTGTTGATGTGGAATTTAAAAAAATATATCAATGATGATGTGACACTATTTTATAGTGACATGTCATCATCGTTAATTTTTTTAGTAAACTATAAGTTTAGTATCTAAACTATTGTTTTTGTTATGTATTAGTACCCAAACTTTATGTTTTTCAAAATCATACCTAATATTTAGTTTAGGTTTCAATTAGATATACCGCCGTTAAAAATTCAACGGTGATATTGACATGTCACAACAAGGTAATGTCACGTCATCATTGGAAAAAAAAGTCATGTTAGTACTTCTGTTAAATTTTTAACGGAAGAGTGCCAAATTAAAATCTAAATTAAATGTTAGGTATGTTTTTTTTAAAAAAATAAAGTTTTAGGTACCAAATTATAACAAAAGTAAAGTTTATGTACTAAACATGTATTTTACCCTAACTCTTTAACGATAGGTAACCGAAATGAAATCAAAATGTAACATAAGATATGATTTTGAAATAAAAATAGTTAGGTATACATTGGTTTGTTTTGTGTTTTTGATTTAAGGTCGTGTTTGGAACATTAATGATTTGTTATCCCATAGAATTTTATTTGTTTCCCTTCTGGTTCCCAAGGCTTTGGCCTGGCTAATTTGTACTGACTCGGGTGGTACACTTGACTTTGGTGAGTGAGTCTCCCAATGATAATTTTCTGCATATATAATGACTCGAACTCAAGATCTACTTAAGCGATATCAAACTGTTTACCACTTGAATAAATCCGTTTGTGAGAATTGTATTTTTGGACGACATCTATTGTGCGACACCAGACGGTGTTCCATGGTGTATGCTTTTCGCTGACGACATTGTCCTAGTTGCTGAAACAAAAACTGAGCTGAATAGTAGACTAGCTACCTGGAATACTACTTTGGAAGAAAAAGGTCTAAGGATCAATATTGAAAAGACAGAGTATTTATGTTCAAACCTCAGTGGGAACCAAAATGATGAAGATGTAGAAGTATGCATAAAAGGACACGTTC